TTTCCATTAATGTTTGACTTCTTTACTTCAATATTGAATACGTTGTTTGGACTCTATTTTTAGGACAATCGATCAAACAGAATTATTTATATCTGAAACTGAATAATCAACATAAATAAAAATAAACCATTTATCCTTCAAAATGATAACTTCTCACTAGCCATATCAGTTGTAAATCGGTATTCTGAGTCATTAGTAGGAATTGAAAGATATTCTTAATTAAATATTAATTAATGTGTGAGATTAAGGAGAAGAAATTAATAATCAAAAAGCGTTTCTGTGAATTTAAAATAAGCATTACTTGTAAAATAAGTTATAAATAAATTCCAATCGAGCCATACAATATGTCTCTCTTTACTGCTGATCTACAGAAGGAGTACTTTTCTATTATTAGAATGGGAGGGATCTCATATATTAATAGGAATATCTAAAAGAGAATCCATTAATAAATAAAATTTAATTGTTAGATGCTGTAGGGTTAGATTTCACCTAACGCATTCAGATACATATTTACTTAGTTTTATGCTTGTTAAAATACAAGTTCATCTCAGATGTGTGCACCTTAAAAAGAAATAGAAAAAGTCTTGGAATCAGGTCAATACAGTGTTCATAAAAGTGATTATCTTACCAAATTAGATCAATCAGGATAACCTTATTAAGTAATCATCACAAATGAATTTACAACTTTTATTTGTTTACTTCTAAAATTATTTCTTAAAAATATAGAATTTTATAAACATCTTGAGATGAAGGATTAATTTGGGAATCAATTTAGAATTAATCAAATGTTTAATCAATTGAATGGAGAGAGATATCTGAATTTTATAATATAGTTTTTCATCATATAAGATTAGATTACAAATAAACAATTAACATTAGAACATATGTTACATTTTAAACTATTCTAGGCAAATTAAGTTGATTATTTGTGATATTCATCATGATAGTAGCTATAGTATTAAGAAATATTATTGAAGCTTTATGCAATTAGAAATTAAGGTTTCTCTTTTCACTTTTTCAGATTAAAATGATATTCCAAATCAATAATCCTCTCATGCTATGATGATCCAAACTGATAGAGAGACCATACTTTAAAATACTAAACCTAATAATTAATTACAATGTCAAGAAACATATATAAAACACCCAACATACTGGATTAATTTAATCCAGACTTTATCCCTAGTTGCAAAAAAAAAATTAATACATATTTAGAAATTGTGAACATTCTGAGAAAATATAAGAGAAATTCTTAAAAATATTTTAATCATTAAAGAGCAATAGATTTTATTGAAAAAACATAGAAGATAAATGGACAAAATGATTTTTTTCATTTAAAAAGTCCACTAGAATTAAATCTAGAACAACAATCAAATACATAAATTAGATAATTTTATGATATAGTAGAAAAGCAAATCAGTCCAAGATCAACTTGGTATCAGCATACCAGAGTAGAAGTATTACAAATATACTTTTACCTCATGATTTCAATTATAAGAAATTAAATCTCTAGATAATTCTGAAATCTAAGAACCTGTCGCATCAACACCAAAAACATAAGAATTATTGTCTATAAGACTAAAGATTAGAACTTATTTGTAATGTCAATACTATTCTTAATCTAATACTATATTTATTTAATTAATAGTTTCTGTAGTGCACTATTATTGATTTTGTGGAATATTTAATAGAATGGATATAAACAGCCTTTTTTTTAGATTAGAAAATCAAAAGAACCAAAACTACTGATGAAACTATTCTTGATTTTCATCATGCTATGATATACTTAAGTGATATTAATTAATAGTAATATCCATCATAATTAATATTATTAGAAATTGAATAAAGTTCATAATCCATGATTGAAATGCAATAAGATAAGGGATCCACTCAGTCATACTCGACTTCATAAATTTAAGACAAATATAAATTAATAAATTCAATCAAACACAAAAACAAAAGTAATTCAATAGTTTTTAATTCAAAATCTAACATTTTAGTTGTTACAAGTAATGAAAATTTGATCCTATTCCAATTTAAATATGGGCATATCAAAACAATAACCTAAATAATAGGAAATATTTATATTAATAATTGTCTATTATTCTTGAATCTGTAAAATCAAATTATATCCTCAAACTCTAATTGCTAAGTAAGAATTTAGTCATTAAACTCATCAAATAACAATAAAAGATTATAATTGATAAAGATTAATGATAATGATTATAAAATAAACTGTATGATAAACAATAAAGAAGAGAATTTGTTAATAATTGGAATGGAGAATCAGATTAATTTTATGGAAAAAAAAAATTAATGGAGATTTGTACAATCCATTTAAATTGATGGAAACGTACTTGGTTTAACTCTGAATGAATCTTAGAATATGATTTTAGCATGTGGAAGATTTAATTATATATTAGTTATTAAAAAAGATATTAAAGATTGGAAATTGAGCAAATAATTTCATTTGTTTGTGGGAGGGGCTAGAATTGTTTTTTATTAGGATAACAAATTTGCATTTTAACCTTGGTGTTGGTACACTCTTGATATTTATGCCATAGATTCGTAAGATGAAATTTCTCTTATTTAAAAAGTTAAAATTAAGAATGACATCTTCAGAACTTGTGCAGTCTATTCTCCTTTATAATTTATTCAAAATGAATCAATTTTGTTAAGTAAAAATTAAAATTGCTTGATAATAATAAAGTTAAAGGAGAATGGAGAGTTCGTAAATGAGCAAACAATTGAATTTAATTTTCCTTTTCTATATGGAAATTTATCAAATGATGGAAATTATTTAGTAACTTGGGAAAGACATATAAAAAAAATTTAAATTTGGTAATATATCAAATGATTAATGATATTTATTTATGATCAAATTTCATTTTTGTATCAAAAGAATTAGCGTTTAGATCTAATTACTTAATTTCATTATATAAAGTAAGTATCTAAATATCTTCTTAATAATCATAATTTTACAAAATGTTAGATAAAAGTAAAATATTGCAACTTGAAATTTCTTACAATTAAATTAGTATTATTTTGAAACTCTCTTTCTTCATGTATTCATAATTTTTAGTACAGATTACATTCAACCAAAAAGATTTCAAACTTAAATATAAATATCTTGTCTTGATGAATATCAAAATACTTCATTTCAATAATTGAGTGTATTATAATACCAACTCATTTTAGATATAAAATGATATATGTTGAGTTTTAATTCAATTTATTGAGAAAATTAATAAGTTAGTGCTATGGATATTTTGAAATTTATACTACTTTGATAAGAATAAATTTATAAAAATAATACCATCCAAAAGTTTTACAAGCAAAATATAAATTACCATAAATGATAATTAGAATCCATTTTGTAAAAAAAGCTTGATTGATAATATTCATAAAATGAATTAAGTTTGTTCTATTCCTGAACATGGAGTCAATGTAGAATTCATCTGTTTAAATTAATATTGTAGAGATTTCAGAATATTTTGCTTTAAATGTTTATAAAGTGAGAAACACAACTCTCACATGAAGGATGTTCATAAATTAAAGGATTATGGAAGATTATTTGATAATAAAAGCAATACAGTATTTGAAGACTTTGAGAGAAATATAGAATATGTGAACACCTTATTTGAGTGGTTAAGAGATGAAATGTTCAATAACAATCATTTAAGCTAAGAAGAATTCGAAGATTTAAGTATTGAACAATTACACGATTATCTTTGTTCAAAATTATAAATGTAGAGTTAGAAATAATCTATTTTGGGAACCATTAATAAGAATGTAGACCATTTGATCTAAACATTAAATAATTGTATAAGTGATTTAGAGTTATCTTCTTTGGATAGTCCTGGAAAGAAGATAAAAGGAGAATTAAGTACAATAAACTATGAAGTAATCAATTCTACTGAGGAATAATAAATAAATTCAATAGCATTTAATTTTGACTCTACTGTAATGGTTGCTGGTTATGAATCAAGCAAGATAAAGGTTTTTGATTTCAATGATGGGGAATTGAAAATTAATTAAGAAATAAACCTTCATAAAAAGAGTATCTATTGTTTATATCATATGAAAAAGACCAAAGAATTTATATCAGGCAGTTGTGACAAATCAATAATAGTATTTTAGTATAGTGATGATTAATAATGGCACTTAAAATAATAATTGGAGGAACACTAAGGAGGAGTGAATTGCTTAGTAGTAAATAGGGAAGAGGATACAATTATATCTGGTAGTGATGATACTCTTATTAAGATATGGATTAGGGAAAATGATTATTGGACATGTCATCAAACACTTATTGGACATAAAAATTACATCAGTTCTATTAGTTTGAATAAGACAGAAAACTAGATTATTTCCTGTTCTAAACATCCTTAAATATTGATTCATTAACAAGAAACCAAGAGTAGGATTTGGGTGTTGCTGTAAACTATTAATGTAACAACTTGGGGAAGGAGACTTTGTTTCATTACCGATTCTGTATTTACATTCTAAGCTGAAAAAAAGGAATAATTGTATGTCTATGAATTGAATCCTAAAACTAATTTTTTTTAGAAAACTAAAAATATATCAGTTGATATTGGAACTTGTAAAATGAAAAAAAGAGGTTGCTTTTGGTTCTTCCCTTAATAATTTATTACAGAGAAATCAATTCTGGTTAGTAAGAATGAATGTTCAGTTAATTTAATGCTCTTCAATTAAGATGGTCAATTTATTAAAAAATAATCAATAGATTATTGTACATCTGGAGTCTTTGGTAGAATGACAGATGACGGTTAGTATTTAATAACATGGGATGATATAAGTAGAGGACTCTAAATAAGATAATTGAAGTAATGAACTTGATCTTGATTCTTATTTATTTTTATTCATTACATTTTAAAAGAATGAGACTATCTTCATAATATTTCTTATTCATTTTTATATATCAAATTATTCCTGCTTCCAAAATTCCTTCCTAAAAGATCAAAATTTTAATCAAAAATTTTTTATATTTGTTTTCCATTATTTTCAAGACTATTTTATTCTAAATATAATAATTTAAACATTAATTAGTTCTCAAAAGTATGCTATTTTGTTAGATTGAGAATCATGACGATAGCTAGATTTTGGGATGTTGCATAAAATAAGATTGTAAGCATCCTAGACCTTATTGTTAATATTGTATGACTTCCTTGCATTTTGATCATTTTTAATAATTAAAAAGCTTTAAGCAACTAAATGAATTGATATTACAAAAAATGAAATCATATGATTATTTGATGAATATGATCCAGCAGATAAAAATCTCAATAAATACTATTTATGAAATAGTAAATCCACTCTATGTTCATCCATTAGATAATGTATAATCATTATCCCATAGTTACCTCAATGATTAAATTATAAAACTAATGAAGATTGAAGTAGCAGAGGCAACGGGAGGTTTAATTGTGAATATCAAAGAATTGAATAACCGAATATATAATTTATGCTGCAAATTTCAAAATTTGAAGTCTTTTCCCATTAAATAAACCAATTTTTCTGAATAAATATATCAGAGGAGATAACAAGACTCATATGTCTCAATAGAACCATAATTGGAGAAATAAAATCAAGAAATCTCTTAAAATCTGCCTATACATTTTTCCTCTGACTATAAAGATAGATACATAGAACTAGAGAACAGCAGCAAGAAAGCAATTAATTTAAATTTTGGATGGAAGGTTGCTATTTGCGAACCAAAAATTCCAAATAATAATTGCCCTATTACATTTTAGTTTAAAATTATAAATGCAAATGCTTGTGATATAGGAGTTTGTCATAGGAATAAAATTATTCAAGCCAATTACTAACCTGAATTAGTAAAGGCTTCAGGTCATGGGTATATCAATATTAATATAGTTAGTATTTATTGTATCAACCAATAAGGATATGTTTACTCTAACCTAAATTAAAATATCAATAATCAAAAATAATCAATTTCATTTAAAAATAATGATATCATTTCAGTTGAAGTAAACTACTAAAAATAAAGAATATTATGGACAAATTAGACTTTACAGAATTAATATGTATTAATTTATTAAATTATGAAAGTCGATGAAATTCGATATTACAGAAGATTTATATCCATGCGTTGGAATAAGTTATGGAGAAATCATAACAATATTGAATACCTGATTTATTATTAAGAATGTGAGTTATTAATAAAAACATCTCAACAAAATCGTTTTACAATCATCATGTAAAATTAAACATTTTATGTGGATTCTATTTAAATATACATTTGTCTGATCATTACAAATTTTGATTTTAGTATAAAAATATCAGATTTCAATTAATAATTAATAATTAAGAATTATTTTAATATGAGTACATTGATTAACTCATTAATGATTGAAAAAGATGTTGATCTGTAATGTTCAAAAAAACACAAGTTGCCAATCCAAATGGTTGTCTTAGACTCAAAATTAACTAGTAATGAGAGACTACTTTGTTCAGATTGTTTAGAAAATTTTGAATCCAATGCTAAAATGGTAGGTTTAACTAAAGTTCTATAAATAATTGATGATAAATACATTAAACTAATATAGCACAATCAAAATTTAATTTCAAGCACAATTGAATAAATTGAAATGATTTAAAGTAGTTTGTTTGAAATCAAATCAAATTTTAATTAAACCCTAGATTAATTGATTGGAAACTCAGAAGAATGGATCAAATTTCTTTATTAGCAAGGTCAAAAAACCTACATGTATAGTTTTTTTGAAGAGTTAGAGCTACTTATTTAGAATTAATAAACAGAAGATTTAAACCAATAAATTCTGAAACAAATTTAGCATATTAACCTATCTTGGATTACTAAAATCACTCATAAGATTTAATAGTTTAATTACAATTCTAAAGATTTAATCAAAAATCTAAGATAATAAATATTAAGCCTTGTAATAAATTATAAAACTAAGGAGATTAACTAGAATAAATAAGAGGGAAATATCGATCTTAAATTAATCAACAATACTTCGTATTAGTCTGATGATTGCTTTGCAATTTCATTTAACAATAGTGGGTCTCTTATGATTTCTGGATGTGGGAAATTTATTAAATTATGGGAGTTCTAAAATGGTAATATAAATGAAGTTTTGAAATTGAAAGGACATAATGATACAATAAGATGTCTTACTTTCACTAATTCAAATAATAGTTTTATTTCTGGTTCCGGGGATTGCTCAATTAGATGTTGGAAACAACTCAATTTTAAATCATGGAAATCTTCAGAATCATATAATGATCATACTGATTACATTGAGTGTATACTCTTGAGTAAGGATGACACTTAATTGATTTCAAGTAGTCAAGACAAATCAATTAAGATTTGGAACTTTGATATTAGCAAAAATGAATTGAAATTACAATAAACCCTAAATTAAAGCAAATATTGTCTAAATAGCATATCATTGAACTTTAGTGAAACTATTTTGGTTTCTTGTGGAGATAATAACGAAATTATTATATGGGGAAAGAACAAATTGAATTATTGGGAATACTAAAATACTATTACACAATCATATAATGAATATGGTACTAAAGTGTGTTTCTTAAAAGATTATTAATTTATTTGGGTAAGTGGTGATATATAAAGTGGAAACTAAGCAAGAATCTTTGAATTTTAAGGTGGCAAATTTATCGAAAATACATCAAAAACTATAGAATTAGAGAATGATAATGAATTCTATGATTTAAATCTGTTTCCAATAGTCTACAATAAAGAATAAAACATTATACTAATTCGACATAAATTTAACATATATCTACTTAGAGAATAAAATAATGGTTTGTATAAAATAGTTTAGAAAGTTAAATAACATAGCAATTCGATTTAAGGGTCGATGACAAAAGATGCTAATTATTTAACTTTTTGGGATTCCTATTAAAAAATCTATACAACTTATGAAATAGAATCGAAATGAACTTTGTATTTTTATTATAGTATTTATGTATATGAATCAAGAGTTATAATAATTGATCATTACTAATTAGGATGAGTAAATATTAAACGATATATAAATTATATCAATTTTCTTAACTTTTATTCTCCTTTAAACTTCTGATCTTTCTGTTGGATTAGTTTTTTGGACTATTTTCATTTTGTTTCTCATTTTAATTCGATTTCTTATTAACCTTTTTCTTTCCTTCTTATTCAATTTGCATTCCATCTTAGACATTCTTCTTTTTCACATTTTTCTTTTTTTAATCTTTTGGAAGTTTTTCTGCTTAATTAATTAGTTTGCTTTCTATATTTACCATTTCATCATAGACTTCTAAGAATTTATTTAAATCTTCAATCCACATAGCAGCAATTTCTTTAGTGAATAATTTATTTTTAGCCTAAAGCTTAGAATTTAGTTCATCTTCTAATTTTAGTACCTTTTCATTAGTCAGAGAAAATAGAGGCATTGATAGAAGATAGTTATAATCGCTTATATCAAGTGTTGTTTTATTGTTCTATTGATTTTCAGTATTTTCTGGTTTTTTCTTACTGACCTATTCATCATCAGAAGCTTCTGATGTATCATTATCGTCCACATTCTTTTTAGGATTTTTAGAATCACCAAATGCTTGCATTTTCGTGGAATTTACAGTTATTAATTAGGAGAATCTTGTAAATTAATTTTTATCTAACTATTAAACTAGGTCTGCTTTTTTTACATTTTTCAAACGAATTTCTTCAGATATAACCATTTTAATGAATCTTGATTTATTGTGAAGCAATTAAACTTCTCTGTCTAGTTTTGAAAGAAGATAATCCTTTCGTTTCTAATAAAATTGTAATCTGACCTAATAGAATTCTTCCAATATTTCCGCTATTGATTCAAATTTCTTTATTTTATTTTAACCATCAAATAACACCATATTGTTATTAGAGAAAGGGGTTACTAATTTGAAGTATTCATAAGGATTCTTTAATTGACTTACATATCCCTCGGTCATTTATATTTCAAAATGGATTTTGTATTTAGTATGATACTCTCTCAAATCCATAATAGGATTACCTTCTTAAGATATTTCTTTATCCAACCATTCTTTATAATTCTTAGTCCACTTTTTAATTGGTAATTCTTTGATTGTCACAATATCAGTCTCCTCATTGCACTCTATTATTCCTTTAACAAGACTATTTCCATTTGGTTATGTTTCTATATTACCATCAAAATTTCTGTAATATGGAGTAAGATTATCAAACTATTCTCCATTCAGTCTTTTTTTAATCTATTCAACTAGTTCTACAGGATTATAGTTTTAAATAGAAGTTGACCAACCTGTTCCAATACCTTCAGCTCCATTTACTAGACTCATTGGAATTATAGGAACATAGTATTCAGGCTCAACCATTTCTCCATCATCCTCAATATATTTCACAACGTGGTCATCTTATTCTGGGAATATATATCTTGTAATTTTATTTAGTACAGTTGAAATGTATCTCGCAGAAGCATGATCCTTTCCTCCCATAGCTCTACTACCAAATTAACCTCTTGGTAGTAAAAGATTGATATTATTTGATCCTACAAAATTTTAAGCCATACCAATAATTGTAGTTACCAAAGATATATCACCATGATGATATGCAGAATGTTCCGCAATATATCCCCCTAATTAAACCACTTTAATTTCTTGTTTGAGATTTCTTTTGAAGCACGCGAACAAAACCTTTCGTTAACCAGGTTTAAGTCCATCCATCAGTGAAGGAATAGATCTAATATTATCAGCCATTGAAAAATGAATCAGTTCTTTATGTATAAAATCTTAATATCCTAGCTCTTTTTGTGTGTGATCAACATATAAATCATGATTATATTGTGCCAGCCATTACTTTCTATCATTAGCTTTCTTTTTATTAAAACATAAATCAATCGATTAATCATCTTCCTCATTATCGTATCTAAATTAAATTGTATGGCTAATCAAATTTCTGAAGTACTCTTATGCTTCTAAATCATCAGATGTACCTAAACCTTTGTAATACTTTATCTTCCAACTCTTAATATCTTGAATTTAAGCAAACTTATTAAAATCTTAAACAGTGAAAAAAGGAATTGTTTGATTTCCTTTAGTTGCTTTGATTAAAGGAGTAACAAATTCCTTTAGAAACCCTTTGTATTTTAGGAGTGAAGGCCAAAAATGATGTATAAAGTTAATGATTAATCCTTTGATATGTGACCCGTCAATATCTTAATCTGTCATAATCATGACTGAACCATATCTTAAAGATTTTAAATCACCATATTCTCTATCTTTCTGTAATCCAATAATTTTAATCAAATTTTAGATTTCTTCATTATCCATTATTTGTTTGACTGACGCTTCTCTCACATTTAATAATTTTCCCTTTAACGGAAATACTCCATACCTATCTCTTCCAACAATGTCTATTCCAGCCATAGCCAAGGCTTTTGCTGAATCTCCTTCTGTCAATATCAAAGTACAGAATTCTGAATTCTTTTTTCCAGCATCATTAGCATCATCCAATTTCTCAATTCCATGTAGTTTACTTGTCTTAGTACCTTTTAATTATTTATTTAATTTAGCATCTGCTTTTGCTTTTGCTTATTGGAATATAGTTTCAATAATATCTGTCTTAATGAGTGCTTTAGAGAATTTCTCAGTAACCTTAAATTTTTCTTCATCAGTTCCACCAAAGTCAGTAACCCTTGTTGTTAAATTCTCTTTTGTCTGAGAATCAAATGTTGGATTATTAATTAAACAATTTACAAATATCCATAATGATTATTTGATCTAATATTTTTGCACTTCTAAATGCTTGTATTTTTTATTGCTTTTCATTTCATTCTGAATTTCCTAAATTAGTTTATCAGTCACATGAGTCACATGAGTTCCACCCTTTGAAGTGAAAATTGAATTAACAAATGATACATGTTGAAATTGAGTGGCAGAATAACTTACAACTACTTCCCATCTTGGAGTTGTCATCTCCTTGTCATAAATTTTTATTGAATTACTAGGCAAATACAAATCAACATATTTCTGAAATGAATTGATTGGTATTTTCTCATCATTTAAATATACATTTATCCTATTTCCATATATTCCTGCCATATCATAAACTCTTCTTACTAATAACGCTTATGTATCCTCCTCAATTTCATTCATCCCAAATCTTTTAAAATCTGGCTTGTAGGTTATTTACACAAACGGATCTTTTTTCATCTATTTGATTATTGGTATCTACTTATTACTCATATTATTGCTCCAAACCTATTTTAAATAATTGCTTCCGTCACAAACTTCAACTGAAAATTCACTTGAGTAAACATTAGTCAATTTTGCTCCATAACCATTCCTTCCTCCAACTACTCTTTTCTCTGTGTCATCAAAGTTGCTTCCCGTCAAAGATACTCCAAATATCAATTCAGGGACATAAAGTTGATACTCTTTGTGTATCTCAACAGGTATTGGTTAACCATCATTTTTTACAGAAATTTAGTTTCCAATTTCTACTCTTAATGAACTCATTTTGTAAGTTTAGTTATTTCTTTGAATATTATCTGCAGCATTCACTAAGATGTCGTCGAATATCTTGAAAAACGCAGGCACGTATTCGATTTCCTTTTGAATCATTTTTCCATTTTTCACAATCCACATCAGCTCATTCATTTTTTGAACACTTCCAATATAAGTGTCAGGCCTATTTAGGATATGTTCAATATGGCTCATTTTTTTATATTGCTCTTCTATCGTCTTGGGGCGCATTCACTCTTGAATTATTAAGAATTAAATTTGATTTACTAAAAATTCTAGTTTAATTATGTTATAATTTATAGTATTAAGAAGAGAAAGGGGAGCAAAATGGTCAAGTCGTCTCAAATCAATTCCTTTGGTGTTTAAGTTTTACAATCAACCTAATCTAATATTCATTCTGATAATATACTTTAGATAATAAATAAAGAAAAGTGATGATAATATTT